CTGAGTTGGTGTTACTGTAGACCCATGTGGTACCATTACAGTTTATCTGACCATTTATCACATCTTGGCAAGACAAAACCGTGTTATCCCCAGATCTCATGAGAACAGATGGTCCAGTTATTGTGCACACTGTTGACAAAAAGACAGTGAAAAATACATAAATACACAAACTTGAACATTTCAAGATCGCTCATTTTATCAGGAAGATTACAGATGTGATTCGTTGCAAGAAGTTCAATGGTAGAAAATGTCTGATTTGTGGAGGAATTGTTTTAAAAAAAAGACATTTGCTTGCTAATATCTTAAACAGCTATATTTCTGAACCATTTAAATATTTCTATATATTCTTACCTGTAAACTGAAGCCCCAGGATCAGAAATAAATGAACTTTAATCCATTTTATTTCAGCCATTGCTCGTTTACGCCTCGTCAATCTTGTTCTGGTGAAATAAACTGACACTGGCAGCTTCTTGAAGGTTATCTGTACTTCCGTGAAAGGGTTAGGGTGGAAGTGTTACTTCCTCACATTCTCATTATATATTTTTTTGCACTCTGTTACATTTATGTTATTCATAACTTTAAAAAAGTGGTTAATCTTAATTAACCATAGGTATATTTAACATTGTTAAGATCATCCAAACAGGCTAAAATGCATCTTAAAGCCTTTTGGTGAACTTTGTGTTCAACAACGTAGCATATCTGAAACAGAGGCGTTTCTCACAGTCATAAAGCAGAAGTGAACTGAACTGAATGTTTAAAAGGTCTTTAAGAAAAAGGTTTGTCAGTATTTGTAGACTTATTGTAATCAAATTCATGGAAAGTTGCATTAGCAGCGAGTAAAGCAGACAGTTTAAGGTTAAAAAGTTTTGGCACAACTTGTTTCTACTTTTAACTCAGACGTTCACATGAAGGGGGAAGTCATTTGGTGAGAATGTGGTTCATAGCAGAGCTCTGCTGATTTTCAGCGCTGCATCAAGAGAAAACATGGAGAAACTTTAATGTTTTAAGATCAACAGTTTGTTTTATATTCCCAATTCACCTGTTATTTCCATAAATCAACAAAAAGCAGCAACATTGATCAGAAATGATCAATAATGTTGGAGCCGTTAACGAGAGCGTCATGCATCAGCCGCTGCTGGCAGCAGATGAGGCTTTGGTGGTGGAGGCGTTACAGTGAGGGCAGGTGGGTCTAATGTAACTATTATTAATATATATTAATGCATATAATCTTATAGAAAGAAAAAAAGTGTAAAATAAACAAAGAAATTTATATTTATCTTAAAATTTTACCAAGAATAAATAAAATATACATAATAAAAGCATCTCTATGGTTACAAACTGGAGCAAAACAGAACAAGTTTCTGTCTGGCCGTTTAAAACCGGGTAATAACAGTTATTGATTCTGACTCTATACTGCCCTCTCGTGTGCAATTAATGTAATTGCAAAATAAAATCAATTCTTAATTCAAAGTGCAGTTTGGGATTTTACTGTGGATTTGATGCTGTTGATCCCTGGATTTAGACAGAAACCAAACCAATCTCCAGTCTTTTCACAGTTCATAATAATCACTCTGCAACTGAAGAAAAACCCATCTGAGATAAAATTAAAATTATTTTATTGACAGAAAATTAAAAAATCTGGAGCAATATGAATGTAGAGTCTTGAAGCTATTCAGATTTATATTAGAAACATCCTAAACCATAAATATAATTCAAATCAAATTTAACAATGTCAAGTTAAAATGTTGAGAAATGTAAAAATGTATATTTATGTGCTCAACTAAAAACATAAATCATTGCTTCAGTTTTTACTCAGTGTTTTTTTTAATTGAAGCCTGTTTCTGCCACTCATAAAAAAATAAAAATTATCATGAGATTTTTTTTCATATCTGTTGAAGATGTCATCTACAAGGTGCATTAATATCTTACTCAACAGTGCCTCCTACTGGGCCAATTATTCTGGAAAATGTGACTGATAACAGGTTCTGGAGTTAATTTATTAATTATAAAATTGAGCATTTAAAATAATGACTAATAGGTTATGCATTTTTTCATCATGTAGAGGTGGAAATAAGTTTCTCATAAATGTGTTAAATTGCAAATTCTGATGATTTCTCTCATTTTAGTAATTTCATAAACCTGCAGCTGAAGTAAAGTAGTAATAAATAAGTTACATAAAATTAAGTTGAGCATGATCATATGGTGCAAAAAAATGAAAGAAAAACAACGTTAGTACTTCTGGTAACTCCAGTGTGGAGTGTGTGTGACTTGGCCGCTTGATGGCTGCTAAACAGGAAGTAGTAAATGTGTTATCAAAAACAGATGAGTGTAATAATGTAGTGCTTCTGTTTATTATAATTAGCTTTCGGATATCTACAAAAACACAGAAGTGTACATTAGTGACTGTAATACCATGTGGCAGCAACAAACTATTTTGTTGATGTAGTTGACAAAAATACAGGAAACTGATAAAAGCAACTATCAGACAAATTTTCCATGCATTTTAAAGCACAGTGAGATAAAGCAGTCACTCAGAACCACCAACATCTGGAACGTACATGTTACTAATTTAACAGAAACATATTAAAGTCTCATTCCAACCTATTGGCCTGGAGCGGTGAGCAGAGAGTAGAGGCCGTTGGGATCAGTAAACGCTGCAGCAGGCGGGCCGGGAGCTGAAACGGTGCTGTAGGTCATGTCGTCCCCTTCACCAACAACCTGGACAAAATTTAAAATGTATATAAGATACTTCCTGTTTGATTCACAAAAACCTGGCAAATGTTAACCCAGCCGCTTCAAGTTTTTTATCTTTTATTTTTATCCTATTTAGCTCCAACATATCTCAATTTGTTTTTCCAGACAAAATCACATTAGACATACCAAAAGATAAAGATTTCATGTTTCGATAATACCAACTCTTCAGTCATCTGCATGTTTTTTAGTGCTGCTGTAACAGGAGTCTCTTGTGTAAAACGAGCTGAAGCTGACACTACTTTGAAAAGTTAAGGATATTTGGCTTTCAGGTGAAATTTATGAAAAATTACAATATTATATAACGTAAAAAAGGAATTTTATCATAAGAATGTGATGTTACTCAATGTATTGAAACAAAAGTCAAACTGTGGTGAGTATGAAACAACAAGAAATGTCAACATGTTTAGTTAAATTTCAAGTCAGATAAAATTAGGACCCGAGTGAATATTTTCAGTCAGATTGAGACGAGGAATAAAGAAACTCTTACACTTACATTAAACCTGACTGGAGTTTCACTGATGGTGGAGTAGTAGACACCATCTTCAGGCTCAACCTGCAGAAGAAACATTTAGTTTAACATCTGAGATGTAGAGAAACTGACAGGTTTATCTTGTTACAGGCTTTAATATTTAGCAGCTTATTTTAAAAGAGGTATAACTCAAACTCTAGACGCTTTATGAGTTTTATTGTTTGTTCAATATTTGAAGTTACATGAAACTCGTGTATCTTGTTTTCATGATCAACTGGTTATTTTGAGCTGTGTGTGTTCTCACGTCGTCTCTGCTGGTTTCCAGTGCCTTGGTAGATACTGGAACAGTCGGATCCACTTCCTGAGCCATGAAAAGAAACAGGCTTATTAATAACTGCTTTCAAAAAGAGGAATCGTGTAATTGGTTATAATAGTGATACTCACAGCGTAAACATGCACCTGCTTCGTATTTCCTGCAACGACATCAGGCTTAACTTTAACATCCAGTTAAATACTTGGTGATTTTTAATATTTAAAGTTTTATGTTCTCACGTTTAGTTCTCCATCTGATGAGAATCCCAGTGACCATCAGGAGTACAACCAAGACCACAGCAGCAGCAGCAACGTAAGGAGCTCCTGACAGGAAACCTTTCAAAAAATACACACTTTAAATCAGCTTTTGAAGTCTTTAATTTTTACTTTTCTCACCTGATTTATCTCCTGTGGACTGACGGTTGAAGTTGAAGGCCTGTCTGGTTTCACCGTTTGTGACTTCACACTTGAACTCACAGCTCTGTGAGTAGGAATCCTCTATAAAACAAACTGCAGCAGAGCAGCCAGAGTGTCGTGTTGCACAGTTGATCAAAGCGATACTCCCAGTATAACAGTTATGCAGCCATTTCACTCTGTATCCACAGTCACCACGCGTCTCCACAGAGCAGTTTAATGTCACTTTATCTGTATCCTTCTGTTTAGTCACTGGTCAGGAAATAAGATATTAGGAGAGAAATTTTACACAAATTATACAAAATATGTCACTGGACATTACTAAGATCATGCTTTAAAATAGATACATCAGTGATAAAGTGTAGCAGAGAAAAAATGACTTCATATTCATATTCATACTCACTGTGGACGACAGACAGAGAAACTCCAGACTGATGAACCAGAATGTGTTTACTGGGTTCAGTTCCAGATTTATATTGTTGGCAATTATAATAACCAGCATCCTTCACTGTGATGTTCCTCATTACCAGAGAACAGTTTGCTGCAACACTCAGTCTGTTAGATTTACTCTGATCATTGTTAACCTTTCCCAGTGTAACCAGTTCTACTGAGTAGCTGGTGTTACTATAGACCCATACGGTACCATTACAGTTTATCTGACCATTTATCACATCTTGGCAAGACAAAACCATGTTATCCCCAGATCTCATGAGAACAGATGGTCCATCTGCACACACTGTTGAGAGTAGAAAAAAAAAAGATACTGAAAAATACTTTTAAAATTCATAAATCTAAACATTTCAAGATGATTCAGGTTAACCAGCTAATTGATGCCTTGTTCAATTCTTGTGTTTAAAAACAGAAAACAGCTCATTTATAAGACAAAAGTGTAAATATAGCATCTATTTACTGAATTTAGTAAACGATCCAACACCCAGCTACATTTTCTGAGACAGTAAAAATTTCTATATGTTCTTACCAGTAAACTGAAGCCCCAGGATCAGAAATAAATGAACTTTAATCCGTTTTAGTTCAGTCATTGTTCGACGCATCGTTCTTGTTCCGACTAAATAAAGTGTCTGGTATGAGCAGCTTTTTGAAGGTCATCTGTACTTCCTGTTAGAGAGGTGATACTTCCTCATCGCTTATGTTTATTTAGACTTCTTTATCTCAATTATAAGTTTTTAAAGAACAGGTTAATCTTCATTAAATGTTGGTATATTTTAACATAACCAAGTTTAAATGTTCAAAAAGAACTTATATTTAAGCCATTTGGTGAATATTGTGTTCAGCCACGAAGCACATGAGAGACAGAGGCGTTTCTCACAGCTAGAAAGAAAAAGTGAACTGAAAGTGAACAAAAGTTTTCAAATAAAAGTTTAAAAGCTTTAATGAAACTTACTTCCAATTTTATCTCAGCCTTCATGAGAAGTGAAGGAGGAAGTGCTTTGGTGAAAATGTGCAGCAGCAGGGATCCGTTTTCACAGCAACACCACAACTGCTCACACCGACGAAACAAACGCCTTCCTTTAACATCTCAATACATTTAACATCTTTCACTTCCGTTTTGGTCATTTTTTATGCTCTAAGCAGTCAAAAACCATTAGGCAGCAGTTTACTGTTTAAAATGCACTCATATTTATTGTAGCTTAGGGGGAAAAGTAGCTACAAACTTTATTTGATATGTAACATTTCAGCTCTCAGGCTTTTCAAGGTCAGAGTTAAAAGTCAGGCACTCAAAATTTCAAATGTAATTGGTTAATTTTATAAGCAGCCAAACTACTTCTATAATATTAGCTGCTCTGAATAATGACACAAGCTCATCGTTTAATGTTTAGTTTGCAATTGCTTTGATAATCACAACACCAATCATTATAAAACGTTGTTAGTTCAAACATTTCACCAAAACGTTCTAGAGGAACCCATGGCTGAGGTAATGCATCCATTAAACCAGGGAAGGGAAGGAGAACAGGTGGATTTGTTATAAGGAGTTTTCCAGGATGCTAATTTAAGATACAAATGTCCAACTTCATGTCTAAGTGGTCAGAAGTCACAAATCTCCAGTGAGTTTGTTTAGCGCCGTGTGGAAATGATCGGCTCACTAAGACTGTTGGTACCAAACATGAACCACGACTGGTGCATGGATAGTGAGGGGATGAAAACCGCCGCCGAACGTAACGTCAAACTGGACTCTGTCCCGAGGTAACCGGACCGCAGCTTCATTTCCTCTGGATGAATCCAAAATAAAATAAGTTTATCATTTCTGTCTGGATCAATAACAACAAATCTGATGCAAGTTCAACTAAAAAAAAATTAGATTACACTGATTGCTGGGAACAACCACATCATCTTCATATACTCGCTTTGTTTTTTAATCATGTAAAAATAAACATAAAAAAAGGAAAGAAAAACATACCGTATTTTTGAAATGCAACACTCCAGGAAAAGAACAAGGAGAATCCAGGAGAACATGCGTCTTTACTGCTCAACAAACTACAGGCCAAAAACCAATTCCTGTTTGTTCGTCCTTCTGCTCCTTGTTTGTCCACAAATATGGAAGCGCAAAGTTGCCAAAAATAAAAAGTGAAAAATCACCAAGTCAAAGCAGCGACTGCCACAACATTTAGACCAACATGGACCTTTACGTTTTGAGCAGCACTGAAACATGTCAGCTTTCTGGAAATTCTTCAAAATAGATACAAAAAATTCTGCTAAAGAGTTAATTTTAAGCATACAGGGAGGAACAGAGATGAATCAGCGTTCCTTTATTAGCGTTTCCTATTTTGGGAATAAAAACGCATAGAGACCGTTTCCTGTGTTAGCATGAACAAACTTTGTAAAATCTCGGTGTATAAACCAGCTGGTTCAGGAGGATGATCCTCTGTGGACTCCTGAGGGTCAGACCTACAGAAATTTAACCCGACGGCTCAAACTTTACACGGGCCGTACCTGGCAGAGCCGCGTCTCCGCCCCAGTCCAGCAGAGAGCAGCTTCATTCCCAGACTTCCTGGATGATTTCAGCTCAGATGAAGCTTCTGGAAACAGCTGGAGGTCAGAGACACACGGCCTCTCTAAACGTTCAGAGAACCTGGCAGCGCGGGGTTAAATACATATCCTCTGGTCTACAATCAGGAAGAGAGATATTTATATCCATAAATATTTTCATTAAAACATTCCTTATAGAGATTTTTAAAAAAGAGGAACAATGAACTGTGTTCTGAGCTCAGAGACTTTAGTTTAACAGAAGGACTTTTGATTCAGTCCATTTTGATTCATTTGCTGCATTATTGAGATATTTCAGAGAATATCTTCTCATTTCATACATTTGGGAGATTCTTGGATTATCTTCTATTCTCCACCAGAGTTAAAGGTCCAATAGATAGGAAAAAGCACCAAGTAACCTAAAAGTAAAGTGTTCAGTTTGATCCTTTTTCATGATTAATCGATTTTCCACCAGTCCTGTTGAACAGCAGACTTGAAGTGTTGCTATGGGGTTTTTTCTCGTTGCCGGGCTCCATTGTGGGTTCACTGATGCTTCCTGCTGCTTTCCTGCTGACTGCAGGGCGACCACAGACTTCCTCCATCTCATTTCCCCTCTGCTGGGCTTTATTGTACTTTGGCTTAGTGAAAAACTGTTGAACATGAACCCTGAGCTTGACGCTGCACGCCAGAATCCACAGGAGACTGAGGAAATGATTCTGCTGCGAAAGCACCACAGTGCTGCAAGCTGGAGCATTTAAATGTCAGACTGAAAAATAAAAATAGATCAACAAGGATTTATGACAGAAATTCAATGCCTGCAATGTCTAAAAAATCCTTATTAAACATGTTCTTCTGACAAAGAATAGATTAGCTTGATCATAACAAGCATAAACATTAATACAAATAGAAAAATGCATTTTCTGAATATGGAGTTGAGATTTTTCTCAATGAGAAACATTTGAGCTGTGATTCTGAAAAAAACATGTAGCTTTAGGGTTGGCAGGTTGCCAAAGGTGCCATCATGTTGAATTAAGTCCGGTCCAAAGTCTAAACCAATACAGGCAGAGAGAGAAAAACAAACAAACAAACAAAAAAAAACATTGTCCAACTTACTGCTACAGCGATAAGAGGACACTCAGCAGTAAAAACAAAAAGAGATTGAAACACATGACAGAAACTTTCTGCATGAGAGCAGAATACGTCTTTTAAGCAGATCAGTTTGTTTACAGATGTTATGATAAAGGATGTTAAAGAGATGAGTTTTAAATGCCATCCAGCTGGGAGGATTCAGCTTTAAACAATGATCCTGTAGAATTAGAATCCATTTTACAAATCTACGTGAAGAAACGCCTATTTTGACCCCATAATTTACAAAGCTTACCTGGTCGTGGATACAAGGATATTTACGACTTTTCATTCGGAGGAGAAGCAGAAAGTTCTTGAAGTTTTGATCAACAGGGAGAAAATCTGGACATTTTCACTGATGAAATATTCTGAAATATGTTTATATGTAGCAAAAGCCAGATCTTTAATATAAAAATGTTCTTATAACCTGAGTCCTCAGTATAAAATAGAGTTTCATCAAACAAAGCAGGTAAAAAAAACTTCCAATGTGAACCAGAGGCTGCAGGTGTTTCTAATTAAAACGGTCGCCAAGCAACGTTTTGATGAGCAATACTGCCATCTACTGGAATGGAGTGTGAATCGGGTTGTTAAATATATGTCAGATTTTAAAACTAACTAAATAAATAAAACTGTTGGCAACAATCAGTCCACCCGGCCCCGTTACTCTCCTATTTCTGCATGAAATATAAAACTAAAACAAAAATATATTGAGCAGATAAACTATAGATAAAAGATAGTTAAATATTTACGACAGCAAGGAATATTAAAATGCAGAGTATAAATTTTGTCTCAAACTAATTCCTATTTACATGGAGTGAAGGAAACATTTATGCCCTCTAACTCTACATAAAACATAAAGGTGTTGTTAAAATATATTTCAAATATTAACAATTTTCATTTGATTTTTTTAAAGAAATTCTCTATCCTTTTCTAACACAGTTATTTTACGAAGAAAAATCAATTAAATTGTTAAAGTCTGAAATTCTGTTGCAATTGGACAAAAAATGTAAGCAGTAAAAAATACACATTAAAATGAACATAAATTTTAAGCCAATTTTTTGAGTTTTCCATTAACTTAATCATTAAAGGAGGAATTAGTTTGATTTAAAAACTTTTTCTGATTATTTTAAGAACGATCAATTCCCTGTTTGCAGCAAATTTCAAAATAATAACGTTAACATTGTAGCAGCATCCAACCATATTCCAACCGCTAATGGATAAACTTCCTACCCATCTTTCAAAATAAAAGCTTATGAATCCCGGAACTGAGGACAGACTGCTAATTATACTCAACAAAATACAAAAATAATCTTTAACTATTATTTGACACAATATCCTTTTTATATTAATACAGATATATATTTTTCGTTAATTACTAGAAATTATTATCCGACAGCACCTGCATCCTCAGGTTAACGCAGGTGGACGAACCCAGTCAGGTGATGCTGTTCAGCATTCTGTCCACTAGATGGTGCTGCTAACCGCTTTAATTCGACTTGAAACTGAGCTGCTGAAAGGACCTGAAGGTTTCATTTCTTGTAGAAATGAAACCTTTTCTCCATCAGTTTATGATCAATTCATAACCAAACTAATCATGCTAACAGTTAGCTCTATGATTATATTTGATGAATGATGCTGTAGATGTAAATACTGAAATGTAGAAAAATCTCCAATAAAAAACTTGAGATGATTTTGTTGCTCTTTTTTAAACTTAAACTCAAAGGTTTTAAAATCATTTCCTTCAGACTCGGGTCTTGTAATGATCACAAACACATCATAGGGGTAGCCAATTTTTAATCTCATTTTCAATTTAAAAATTCATTTTTAATTTTTTCAAAACATCTTTTTTCCTAATTGTGCCAATGAGAATATTACTGGAATGAAATGATTGTGAAACACTGCAATAAAATGTAAAGTTTGCTACATTAATACAATTTCCCATTAGACTGATGACATCACAGAGGTCAGAAACAGAACCAGCAGCCGCCTGCGTCCACCGTCAAAACCGCCACAGAAAAATAAAAAACAAAGAAAAAGAAAATACTCATGGTATGAAGACAGACTGTGTAAAACAAAACGTCCTCAGTAAAAATGAAAGCACATCATAATGGAGAACAGGACAGGAGGAGGTGGTGAAGTGAAGTACAGGTGAAACTAAATCCCCTCTCAGAGTCAGACTGCCAACATGAAGCTGGATAGAGCATGTCATGATATCTGCGATTCAAAATCCACTAACACTGACTGAGAAAATAAAATGTGCGTCAATATTTCCAAACATTATGAGCCGCAGAGTTGCTTTTGTCATTCTGATGGTGACCAACACTTTAACATTTAATTTTGCTTAATAATCTAAAAAAATGCCATAAAATAAACTAAATTTAAAGTTAAATGTGTAAAAAATGATTTAACTTATTTACAGCTCACTCTGGAATAAATTTGAAAATGTAAACCTGTTGCTTCATTTTTCTGAACTTAAAGCAGGAGAAAATGATGCAACATAAAACCACCTTTCATTACGGAACCAAAACCTACATCTATCCAAGCTTCATGTGAACACATTCTGAATTCAGTGCAAAACCCCTTAAACAAGCACTTTGTGTGGCTGCAGTGAGATTGTTTTACATGATGGCCTCAGGTCAGAGGTCACGCCAGTCCCTGATTAGACTCTTCATCGTTTGGACCCCAGTTCACAGAGAGGAGAAGAAGAAACGTCGGCCGGCGGCTCGGATGTTGGCTATGGCTTTTTGTCGACTCTCGTTTCCGCAGCAACCAGTCAGGAGGTGGAAGTGGGCTGGTGAGTACGTCAGAGTGTCCGGTCGAGCTTTGGGTCGTCAAAGTTAGCTTTCCTCCTCTTCCTCTTCATCGTTTTCAGTGCAAATCCGTCAGAAAAGTCTTTCCATCTCTCACTGAAGGAGCTGGAACAAAGTGCTTCAGTTCGCAGGGGACAAGTTTTTTTTTTTTGTTTGTTTTCAGAAAGTCCTCAGTAATAAAACTAGAATCTCAGTTAAAACAGGAAATATACACAATCATATGTTTACAATATATTATGTACATTTTACATAAGCTCATAAAAAGTAAAACATGGCTGCCTTTTCAAGGTGGAACAAAGTGCCGTCACTTTGCATAATGTAAACATGAAACAGTGGCTGTGTTGCTGCTGCTAAAAAAACAAAAAAAACCAAAAAAACACTTTCTTTACAGATTCAGAAACAAAAACACACACCTCTCATTTCCATGTGCAAATCTGACATACACAGCATGTCAGGAGGAGCAAACAGCAACACAACGCGGCTGAGGTGTTCACACACGCAGGCAGAGCGTCACAATGGAAAACTGGACCGGAGAAAAACTCTCCACATCTTACTGCAGTGCTAAAGTTCATCTCTTCAACGGGAACCGCCTCGTTTACGGCGCGTCAGTCCTGAACCTTCAGCAGAGACTTGAGGTGAACGCTCATCTGCTCGCGGCTCTGGCTGTTCTGCTGCGGCCCGTCCTCTCCGACCCAGTGGCTGGGCGGTTTGGGCAACACGCTGGGCGACGGCGGCTCGCTGAACTTCGCCCCGGCGTAAATCTTTTCACAATCTTTGAGGTATTCGGCTTCGGTGGGGGGGCCGGTTGGGATGGTGACGTTGTTTGAGGCGTTCAGGGGTTTCTTGGGTTCGACGGAAGACGAAGGCTTCTTGGGAGTGCAGTCGTCGTTCTTTTTAGCGGTCGGGGAAGCAGCAGGCGATTGGCTCTGTTTGGGTTTGTGGCTCCTGGTGTTCACATTGTGGGCGAGTTGATCGTGTCGAGGGAGGAGACGGGGCGCCTGGACACCTTTAGGCTTCAGCACCTAAAAACAAATTATTAAAATGGTGCATTACAAACATTTTTTTCTCTTTTCCAAAGCCATGTTTGAGATATTAACTTTTAAAACAGTTTGTAGTTAAAATGAGAACGAAAAGCGACACTGAAGGATCATATTCTTCCAAGTTCTACAAACCTGAGAGCAATTTAGTTTGGATATTTTTGAAAATAAAGTAAAGCAAAACAAAAAGTAAAGACGCAGGTAATTAGTTTAGCTTTCAGATGAGAGTAATTACAGTGAGCTGCCGGTACTCTCTGGAATGAGAAGCCACAAATACTTGAAATCCCCTCTGTATGCATTTATAACGACATATTTTAATAGTTCAGCACCAAATAAACCATAACATGCATTAATACACACAGCAGAAACCATTTAATCAGAACTGCAGAAGCTCTGCTAAAATCACTTCAGCCAATCATCAACTAATTTAATTATCGATTAATCATTAACTGGAGTTAATTATCCCTGCTGATCCAATCTTTGCTACAAATGATAAATATAGGAACAATGATGTTGCATTTCAGACAAATGTTTATTTTCTTTAAAAATTATTTGAATTCCTTATTTGCGTCTTTGGATGCATTTCTAACATTTCATTTAAAAAAAAAGAAATATATGCAGACTGTGTTGGCACATTTTTTTTTAATCGGCTAAATCTAAAGTAATCGTTAGTTGCAGTCCTACTTTTGGATATTTTAGATGCGCTCTGTGAATGGCTCCACAAATAAAGTTTAATTAAGACTGATGATAGTCACTCACTGTTTCAGCTTGAAACAAATCTACAGTATTAAAAAGTCATCAGGAATTCTGGTTGTATTTTATGTGTAATTTATGTGTTTTCTGCCTGATTGATGCTAAAATATTCCTTTTGTTTTGCTCCATGAACATAAGAAGAATATTCATCCATTTTCTATTCACTTCAACTCTCTAAGCATCCATCCATGCATGCATCAGATGTGAAGAGGTAAATAAACATAATTTCCTTTCGTTTCTAACACAAAGTGAATCATGACTTCAACAGCAGCTGAGATCAGGTTTCATTCTCCATCAGTGTTGATGTTCAGAACAAGCAGCCGCCACCCACAGACAGTTGTGTTCAAGTACAATCCGTCACGTACGCCTGGCTCTATGAGTCACGCTGCTGATTGCAAAGGCTGGAAGTAACTTTGGAAATTATTGTTGCCATTTTTACTTTTGTATCCAAGCATTTCTCTGGGAGCAGGTGTGGAAATTCATACTGGAGAAAAAACTTCAAGCAACACAATTCAGTTCAAACACATGAATTCCAGCCTCGAGTAGTTTTAGTTTCTTTAGTAGGAATGAGACAAACCGTTGTCACCTGCAGCCCTGCCTGTCCTACATTCGTTACTCTTATGCATGCCCAAAGGAAACACAGTTTAGAACTGAGCAGCTTTTTTCAGGTTAGGGCATGCAAGAAAATACCTTGGTGTGTGTGTGTGTGTTCACCAGAACAGCTGTGCAGAGCTGCAGCACAAGACTGGAGGGGAGTGCGTGGTTAAAGGAGGATTTCCGTCCTGCACTTCTGCGTCGTTTAATCAGTTTGATGTTTAATTTTCATGTCAACACAGGTTTGTAATCTACTTTTGAGAAGCACATCAACTGATAAGTAGGCTGGAGCCAATTTTTCAAGATTTTATTATTTTAAAAACGTCTAATAGCGATGAGGTTTTACATGATTAAATCAAAGAAAGTTAGTGGTTGGCTGGCTTAAAACATAGTTATTAGTAAAACTACTTGTAAAAATGTGAACTTTTTACCCATTTTCCTTTAACCAGCTCTCTTTGTTTATGGTGTTCTGAATTATGTCACTAACTTTTTCTGATTAAAGTCCAGCTGAAGCTTTAAACTGTGACGCAGTTTTATCGAGATCTAGTAAAGTTTGGCTCTTCATCCTTTTGCCTGTCAGAGAAACCTGTTGTGGTAAAGGCAGCCTCTTTATGCGCAGATCAGCAAGTAAAAACAGGAAGTTAGGCTGGTTTTCACTTATTACTTCACAACAATAGATTGCAAATGCGTCACTGAAAAAGCCTCAGGCACAAAATATACTTTGAAAATTATTTAATTTGCCTCAAAACTGGATAATTGTGTTGTAAAATTGGTATAAAAATATGTTATTTCTTATAACGGCGCTAGAATACATCACCAAAAAGTTACAGACTAATTAATATGGGACATATTATTGTTTCTACTTCTGAGAAATCAGGAATCTGTATAGGCCTGTCATTTATATTACACCTGTGTTATATAGAGTAAATTGATAAAATGTTGTTTCAGGTTGAGTTTGATACCAATGAGGCCTACAAGTGTACAAACTTCCGTAAACTCACCTCTTTTTTAGCTCCTTGTTTGACATGATGGAGGGTCAGCACCGTCTGGTTCCCAGCAGGCAGGTGAGCCGCGGACTGGGCCGAATGTCTGTGACCCGTCAGGATGGCGGTGGAGGCGGCGTTGTTGTGGTCGGACAGCCGGATGTTCGGGCAGTGTCTCGGGGGTTTCTGGTGATGCAGCAGCGGCTTCCTGCTTCCCTTCTTCAGCAGCGCTTGCTTCGTTTTACAGCTCGGTATCGGGTTGTTGTTTTCTACATTGCCGATATTGGCTTCGTCACCGTTCGCAGGAGTTCCGTCCAACATTTCTTTGGAGTGGTGAAAACATAAAACAGGCGGAGAAAATCAGCTGCTGCGAAGTTGTTTTAACTAACAGCGTCACAGGATAACAGTGAGCTAACAACTTGAGAAGTAGCTAAGTAGACTTTCTTTTCGAAATGCCCTCAAACAGAAAGCTGTAATTACAAAACTAACTTATTTTGTGTTTCTGTAATTTCCAGTGCTGAAATATGTACGTTTCTGGTAACAGTCACTGATATAATATCGAGCAACGGAGTCTTTCTTTGTGGCGCGTCGCTGCTAGTCTGATCTGATAAACCAGAAGTAGCTTGTATATTGAGTTTATAGTAGTCACATGATTTCCGGTAGTAGCCTTTCAAAATAAAGAGGGTGTGGATGAACTTAAAAATTCTGAAATTGCAACACAAAGTTGAAAATATGTACGTGGTAGTCAGTGAGCACGATTAAACACATCTATGTGTATATATAATACTAGAACTATGATGATATTTAACAAATATGTACAAAATATTGCCGTAAGCTAGTAAGTTAGTTTCTGTCTTTTTAGTGCAACAATTTATACATTTTCTAATTTCAACAACCACTGCAAATCAAATGAGGTTCCTGTAGATTTTTTTGTTGTTTTTTGTTTTAACAGGCATTGCATAATAGAGGAAATTTGTAATACCAGCTCAGTTGATTATTTTCAATTGGACATTTACAATCTTGTGAAAAAGTATATGCACTTGTCTACACATTTATATTTTTTGCTTCTGTGTTACACGTAAATGTGTCAGCTCATCAAATGCATTTTGGTTAATTTGAGTCGTTACAATGACAGGCAAGGAGAGATTTAGTTCTATATCACACATCATTGCATGATTGTATCAATTCAGCCAAATGGAAGATTTTTTTAAACATGAATTATCTGCTTAAGATTATGCCAGCAATTCACTAAATTTGAATCCACTTTGACTAGGCCACTCCAGGACCCATTTTTCATGTAATTCATTGTGAACTATAGCAAGTATAACTAGCTCAATTATTTTCATTAGTTTGTAGGAAGAAGCACAACATCACAGACAGGAAACATAATTTAATACCCCACAGTTTTATTGTATAAAACATTACCTGCAGCTGACTCGCTTTCATAACATTCAATAAAATGTTTGTGTGAATTCTCACTACACTATTTTTTCTGTCAAAACCGGGTGTCCAAAAACACTGACAATAAAAAGGTGGGCTGGTACTTTGTTGTTATACAGTACATATCATTAGTGCACAAATGTTTCAAAACCAACTAATCAAGAAGGAGAAACACAGGAGCTTTAATCTACTACAATAATAGGTTAATAGTAACTATTTGGCAAAGAGAACAATAAACCTAGATGTTAATCTCAGTCTCACTTGGGAGGACATATTAAAGGTTTGCTTCAGTACAAAAAATAGATAATATAAACAATATACAAATACAACATAAATAACTAGGTAATCCATCCCTGTGATTGTAGTACATATCATTTGTCACAATGACCATTGAAGGCAAATCGACGAGACAACGAGGCTCCTGGAGGTGTTTGTTCGTCCACGTGTCGGACGCAGCGGCTGAGTTTAAGGCTGAGCTTCGGCTTCAGGTTCGTCGTAGATGTAGCTGCCCACGCCGCCGGTGTTCACACCTGAGGAGAAACACCACAGTAAAGCAATACGTCAACTTTTCTGGTTACATTAAACTACAGCATGAGATATGATCATGTTTTTATCATATATCGATGTTTCTGGACACTATTATTCAGTGAATTGTAAATTGGGAGTTTTGTATTGTGATCCTAAAATTATAATGAATAAAAATCAAAGGGTGATTGCCATAACATGTCAGCTGACTTCCTGTGGAGGACACACTGAACTATGATATTAAAACTGCGCAAATTGGAATTACGAAAATAAATTTCATTAATGGAAGCACAGCAGTTAAATAAAAAAAATTAAACCAGTAAAGTTTTTGCATTACGGTGAGGTGTTTTTTTTTAGCTGTGTCAAAGTTACTGTATTTCACAAAACTGCAGTGGAAAAGCTTTTTTCACATCCTGGTGTGGAACACAGTGACGTGATCAACAACTGAATGTTTCCACTGGTACAAACCATGAAGAAGAAGACGACAGGAAGTAATTGGAGGATCATGGCATGTCATGTAATGACTTATTGCATGAACAAACGTATTAATGTGTCATTTTTATATGCATTTATTATTTAATGGAAACACCGTAGTTGTGAAATTGTGTTTTGTCGACATTCGAAGTTTCGAATATTAAAGTTTTAATGCCTGACAAACAGAACAAATCATTTATCATGATTGGTGCTGCACAGCAAATAGGTTTTCTGGAGGCAAAATAAAGTTTTGGAGTTGTTGAAACTGTTGCAAAGATTTTATCACTTCCGAGTCGTCATCATAAGTCAGGATGAGTAAACTGAGGAATTATCCAGGTGAAGACATTCAATTTGTCAGAACACAGCAGGACTTCAGTGATTCAACATGACATCATGTCCATATCAGCTCATAAAACTTTAAACCAGGCCAGTTTCTGTCTTGCTTCCTGAAGGGGTTTATTGTTGTCGTGGATATGATTGTGTAATCCACTTACACAACTCCTATCTAACTAAAACTAAATGGTTTTCTGCTTCTTCACTGATCACACCAAGTAGTTCCCTGTATTAATTAATGCATGAAATATTCAGTATCCTAATCACTCATAATTTGGACTACATTATGGGTCTAGTGCATTGATTAAAATGTAAATTTGAATTCCAATAACTTGATTATCTTTGTCGTCATGGATACACTCATTGATCGCAGTATAATATTGCTCTTTCCTACCACCTTATTCATACTTTATGCAGGGTTTTTAATCGCAGTAAAAGTGTCTATCAGTATCACTGATGACATTAGTGGCCGTTTTAGTTCTTGATCTGTTTGTTCCTCCTGTTAACATTTCATATTGATTCCAGTCTCTCTCCAAGGCCCAGTAATCAGTTGCTCTTCCCACAAATATTCAATAAAACTACCACTAACTTATACCTGGTTCTAATAAACTTTCAAAGTTATAAATAAAGTCCTGAAAACTGTATTTTAGACTCTTGATGGTTTGAGCTTCTGCTTTGAATCCATTTTTCCATCAGGATTGGTTGGGTCAATGTCTTCATACCTTTGGGTCCAAACAGCACAGCGTAGCAGGGTTTGTGGCAGTAAGGCTGTCCATCATGCTGCAACAGGAGAAAAATATTATTTTAATCATTTCACAGCTTAGCTTGTTTTTTTTAAAAATCTTTTCCAGTTTACATTTCGAAAACTTAAAGTACTACTAGCACAACAAGTACTACAACTGAACCACTGGTGATATTATAGTAAAATACAGATGCCTGCTTTTTATTGTGTATAAAATTTTGACCAAAAGAATAAAAAGATGGTGATTTAAAATTCCTCTAAAAGCTCTGACTCTTTACTTTGACTAATCCATGCCTTTGTTTATGCCTATGGGTTTTTTATATAGTGAAGCCCAGATTCACTTTCCAGATTCTTTCAGAAAAAAAAAAAACTGAATTGCGGTTATTTATTTTGCTAAAGCCTGACTTCCAGTGCAGTGTGGTTGCCCGCTTGCAGTAGTTGCCTCCCTACAGTAGTTGCCTCCCTGGAGTGGTTGCCTCCCTGCAGTAGTTGCCTCCCTGCAGTAGTTGCCTCCCTGCAGAAGTTGCCTCCCTGCAGAAGTTGCCTCCCTGCAGAAGTTGCCTGCCTGAGGTGGTTGCCTGCCTCCAGTAGTTGCCTCCCTGCAGAAGTTGCCTCCCTGCAGTAGTTGCCTCCCTGCAGTAGTTGCCTCCCTGTAGTAGTTGCCTCCTTGTAGTAGTTGCCTCCCTGCAGTAGTTGCCTGCCTACTGTGGTTGCCTCCCTGCAGTAGTTGCCTCCCTGCAGTAGTTGCCTCCCTGCAGTAGTTGCCTCCCCGCCCGCCTGCAGCGCCTCACCTCTGCATGGCTTCCCGGAGCCAGAGTCTTACTGCACCTCTCACAGCGAAGGCAGGGCCGGTGCCAGTTCTTCCCCAGAGACGACACCTTCTCAGCTGCACAGAGAGACCAACATGGAGACAGTCACCACGGCAACCAGTCGACTGAGTCACCAAGACCCTTCTCTGACACTGATATGATACATGCAGATATGAGACGTGGGAAATAGCGACAGGTGTCCTCACCGAAGTACACCGTCTTGTTGCATCTGGGGCAGATGTTTGGTCCGCCGGAGAAAGACGAAAAGCTTGCAGCTGCAAAATGTCACTCAGTTAGTCATTTCTTACATTTGTTTGAAATAAATTACAATTTAGTTTGAAGTAAATAAAAGGTAGTACTTTATTTATTTAGTTTTTTAAAAAACACAATCCTTATAGAGGAGCAGCACTTTGTTTTAACAACTTTCCGACACGTGACAGGTTTTCTATTTCTGCTCCACATATTTCTCACCCTTCACTGGTCCCCGCGTGGCTCTTTTCTCCTCCTCCGGTTTGCCAAGTGTTGCCATGGAAACCGCTGCCGGGGCCTCGTTGACAGGAGCGTCGTACATGTAGGAGCCAGCTCCGCCGATGTTCACACCTGCAAAAAGAGTACAGGAAAAAAAAAACAGAAATGGTGCTTTATGCAAACCTTAATGAGAGAAATCCAGTCCAACAGAAAATCCAGTTAATAAGATGAAATGGCACCTTTTGGTCCAAAGAGGGCAGCGTAGCAGGGCTTGTGGCAATACGGTTTTCCATCATGCTGCATAATAGGAGAGAACAATTAAAACAAAAACCTTTTTTTATTTAAAAAAGTTGAGTTATATAAAATGTTAATTTATCTAACTTTAATCCACATAACACTTTCACATGAGCTTGTTTTAGGAATTAATACAAGCAGTCTTCTCTTTGTGCTTTTCATTTTGAAGCTATTTATACCACAGGAGAATAAAGAAAACTGAGCATCAGTTCACAGTTTGTTATTCTGCCCTGTGAACCAGAAATATGACATTTCAAGCTGCCAGATGCAAGTTATGGACTGTTTACAGCAAAAGAAAGAAATGTGTTTTTATATAAAACTTTGTTTAGATATAAAATCTGCAGCATTGTCTGCTCTGCAGTCATGTTCATTTGTCATCCAGACATCAGTGGAATTTCGCCAACAGTTTGATGAAGTAAAGTCAGGAATCCTGAGCCACAAAAGAAGCTTTTTAGTCGAGTTTTTCCACGTTTCTAACTCACCAATAGGCTTTACGTCAACACATAATTAATGTTAAATTGCTCATTCTGCATAATTTCTATCACTCGCCACGTTAATATGATAAAACGATGAATCCTCTCACTACTGAGAACGTTGTTAACAGCTCAGCATGATTCATCGTGTTACTTCCCTGTTAGAAGTCTAATAAAAACAGTGAAAGTTGCTGAAACAACATCCAGACAGTCTGATAACTCTCCTGCTGAGCTGTTAACACACGCTGCTGCTTCTATACGTTGCTTTCCAGATGAACTGAAAATGAAAACCTGGAGAAGATAAAAACTGACATGAAGCCAATTTTAACCCGAACTGAGCATTAAAGTGTGAAACTGAAAACAAATAGCACTCCACCTTTAAGACCTATATGTCTGTATGTCCATGCTTGGACTCACTGACTCTTCTTTCATTTGTTTTAAATATTACTTCATGACACAAAATATATTTTTCTATAAATAATGTAAAGTCTCAACTTCACTAAAACCTTTGCGGCGTTCCCCTTGAGCCAGACTTCGGACCCATTTGGTTTATATTTCTTCCCTTTTTGTTTTATCATCTGTTGCCATATAAGGTAAGGTTAATAACATTAAACTATGTTTTGTTTAGTTTATTGATTAGTTTTAGTAAAAAGCAAAAATTGCTTCCTCCACAGAACAAACCTTGCATTATGGGAAATGGAGTCTTTTGTACTGCTGCTCTTCCTCTGTGGAATATTCATCCTGACTCTCTCAGGCTTAAATGTACTCTAACAATGTATTTTGTTTATTATCTTCAATAGAAATGTGTGTTTATTTAAACGTGTTTTGCTTTTGTAGCATTATCAGCTTTTGAAAAAAGAAAATGACTGAAATAAGCTAACAGATTTTAAAATCCATGTGAAATCAGCAGGCAGATCGTCTCTGTGGTTCAAACTAAAACCTTCCTGCAGGTTTTAACCGTCCCGCTCGTGGTTTGCAGACAGTTTCAGAACTGTAAGATGAAAACCAGAGAGCAACCAACAACTTCCTCTACTGACCTTTTTACTCCCTTCTACTGAAGGAAATAAACTGTTTTCACATAAAACATTTAACAAAGTTTGAAACATTAATTTCACTGAATCAGAACATCTGAGTTCATTTGTAAGATATTTTAATGGTTATTTCACTTCTCTTATCCTTAATTACTTCTTTTATACCCTTTCTATCTGTCCTGGTCCTACAAGCCAGAGAAACACTTTAAATATGTGACATTAAATTATTGGTAAAAGAATTAAAATATGAAATAAAGAAAACCCGAACCCACAAATAATCCTATCTGAATCTGTTCAACTCCTGCATGATGTTTAACTGGTAAATACAAAATAAAAGGAGCTCTACAAAGTAAAATAGTAAAAAAAAGAAGAACATTATAAACCGACATTTGTCTGACTGATGAGTCAATATAACCCTGATGTGGTGAAAAGCGATCAGATTTCCTGCTGCAGCTCCTCTTACCTCAGCATGGCCGCCGGGGTTCAGCGTCTTGTTGCAGCGCTCACATTTCAGGCAGAATTTATGCCAGTCTTTTCCCAGAGAGGAAACCTTCTCCGCTGTGCAACCAGAAAACAAATAAACACGTTTACACGACTGAAATGATTCTCTGAAGAACTGTAAAGTTTGACAGGAAATATTGCTAATTAGATTTAGGATTCCAAATTACTTTTTAATACAGAACAAGAAATGGAAGTTTTAATCGTTTAGGGATGTAATCCAGCTTTAATGAAAGTTTTATTTTATAAGCAAAAACAAAAAAGAAGGGGTGAAAAATGAACCTGTCCTAATGCTTCATTACTGGCACAGTAAAATGCAGGAAACCTGTTATTAGTGAGAAAAAAAAAGTGTTTTTACAGCAGGCACTCCTCCGCACTCGTCTCTGAAAAGCCTCCATCATTTCTCTTTTTTCCATCCAGGCATTCATCCTGTCTGCTGCTTTTGTTTCGGTGCATTTTCAATCCCACATCACTTCATTCATCCCTTAAACTGTGAATCTCATCAGCCAGATGAGACGTTCATCATTCTGCTAAATCATTTCCTCTCCGTCTGTTATGCAAAGACTCGTTCCTCTTCAGCCGTCACAGAGAATATTCCAATCACTTAAACATTTCAGTCCAGAAAAATACCTTTGGAAGGCAGGGAGACACTGAAAAGGACACAAGGAAGGGAAAGACAGAACAGACAGGTCCTTGAATCTCATCAGTGGAGGGAAGGAAAAGGAAGACAAGATAATGTAGAGCACTCAGAAAAATGAGAAGAGTGATAAATTGTTATTTCTGACCTTTTCTCCTCCACCTACACATCTCTTTCTGCTACTTATGACCGTCTCCTCCTCTTAAAAAGCCAATTCCTTCTGCAGAACCTTTAATATTAAGACTCTCTGTCATTATTTAGCTCTGGAGAACATTACCTGTTTTGTTTTAATGAGACAGAAAAATCTAGCACCAGAAAAAAAACATGAACATGAAACATAAGCATCAGTCTGCTGTGAATAAGAGCACTGCAGCTGTGTCACCATGTCGACTGTCCAAGTGACAGAAAACACTTAAAGGCCACTTACTGTAAGAGTCTATATCTGTCTAAAGCACATTCTTTCCACTGAGATCTAAAGGTCAACGTCATGAGTCACAGATTTTCCATTTTCATAACATTTTTAGTCTGTTTCTGTTTCTACGTCCAACTTTACCGAAGCAAAATATCATCCTAACCCTGACTCCCACAGGAACCTTCGTCCTAATTAACATCTAAACTTCATCATCCCTTCTGTGTCTCTACAAAGTGGCCACTTCATAATTAACACATGTTGGCTGACAAAATGTCTCCCTAAGGAAGATCCTGCACTGAATCTACACGGAAACCGAAACAAACACATACCTTCTTACAGTACCGGCCTAATTCTTGATCTGGACCAGTTGCCAGGCAACCATAAGAGACCACATGAAGTCCCATTTAAGACATTAAACTCAACAATAGTTGAGTGCAGTAGTTCCAGCGAACTGGAAAAGTCGACTTCATTCATTCATTCATTCAGATGTGATAGATCAGAGAAAAGAAGCTTGAAAAACAAAATATTCCAGTAAATCTGTTCATGTTGTAGTAATTAGTAAAGAAAAGCTCTTCAGGAAGAAAACAGGAATATTAATCACTTTAAATGATAATAAGAAAACTAGAAAATTGGGAAAAGTTTTTCCACAGAACTGCATAAAAATATCGTCCCTGTTGGTTGTAAATTAAAGCTTCTAATAGATGAAGTCTTCTTGGCCCAAACCCACAAGTGTAACAGGAATGAAAAATCATAGCCAAAAATCTGTTGTTGTTTTCCAGTTCTTACATAACTTCACCTCTGACCTTTGTCTAAACAGAGCAAATTCCTCAAAATAAAAACCTTTGTTCAGGCTCAATGCTTCCCGTCAGGAGGAGTTTGATGAGAAAGGCATGACGGATGGACGGAGGGAGTGAGAAGTTCCCCAACAATCATTTATCTGTTTCTTCTCCTCCTGAAATATCCCAACAGATAAACTGAGCCTGATACAACATGACACTTCCTGTTTAGCTTCAGAGGCTGGCCTGCCTGTCAGGGTGATATGTGACAGAGACGACTGGCACACAGAGAGCTGCCAACCGTGAAGCATGATGAGAGTTTCAGAAATTCATTTTTCATTATATTAAGGTAAAATATATCTACAAAGAGTCTGCATGTTGCTAAAATCTTCATTAAAAGGTTTTATTTTCATCCAGTTCATCTTTTTAACTTTGAAGATTAAATGTTTCTTATTATTTTGAAAGTATTGAGAATCTTAAGATAAATTACATCAGATCTATTAATAAATACTTGGTGTAAAAAATAAAATGAACTAAAAATGATGTTAAGGTTGTTACAACACAGAGGTTGGACACCTTATGTTACCCTTTAACAATGCTGGGGTGACATAATTCCCTGTGAAGCCGCCTGCATGAGGCAGATCATCTTTCTCCTGAAATCCAGAGCATTTAGCCACATCATTATTAACTGAAAATGTTTAATTATTAAAAAGAACTGACAGCAGACTGCTTTGATTCAGGCTGCAGGGAGGAGTTTGGCTGAGATCCTCCTGGAAATTCATGGAGAGAGAACAAAAGGGCGATCGATCCATAAAAAACAACGCGCTATTACTTAATAATTAACCGTGCCAGTCGGGTGTGGCTCAAAGTCTCGACTCAAATTCTAATTTATTGTAAACTAAAACACAAACTGATCGGCCAGCACTGGAACCAAAGATCTGCAGCAGCTTTAATAAACTAATTCTGTTGGAAGTTAATGAGATATCAGGGATAGTTTATGAGCTTCTGGGGTCTTTAAGCACACAGGCCAGTGAATGGCTCTCTGTAATCTCATCCTCAGATAGTGGAGCTATTACTGCTGGATCTGGAGCCAACGCAGAACAAATCATCTGTCAGTCTGTGGCTCTGCAGCGGAGACATTGTGAATCCGTTTTGGAGAGGAACTGTCACTTTCACTTCACATCGGATGCATCAGATATCTGTGCAGCGAGTGTGTCTGACGTTACAATCACTGAGTGGCTCATAAAAGCTGGGATGTTTCTGTAAACTTCACAAAACGTATCCGATTACACCGGCTGGTATAGTGTGGTGTGCGTGAAAAAAGGTGAAAATAAATAAATTAACTTTTATAAAATAGATTTCAGAAGATTAACATATAATATGATTTTCAGACAGCAGTGAGTGCAGCAGACAACATGACTACGCACATGAATATCCTGGAAATGGACATTCTGTGGGAGGAGTGATTAAAGTCTGAGTGGGGCTGTGAAGTGACTGGTCTGACTGGCTGAACCACAAAGATATTTAACACACAGAGCAAAGAAACTCATACAGTGAAGAAAACAGCAAAAGACTGGAGTCAGGCTCTGCACGGTGTATTTATGTTCACGCTCTAAATCAATGGAAGATTTCTCTACATGCATAAATTCATTACATGTGAGAAATATTATAAATATGTAAAATGTAGAAAACATCATCTGAAACTATTAGTTTTAAGGTTTAGAAAAGGGCAGAGTCTTATTTTAAGTCATAATTATACATTTTACCCCCAAATTATCATTACATTTTGATTAAAAAAATCAGAATTCAACCTAAAATCATTTCTAAAATGTAAATTGATGTGACTCAATCTTAGATCCTACAGTATAAATAACCCAATAAATGTGTTTTAGTTGCATTTCTTTTGAGACACAATGAGAGACAAAAGATGAAAAAATAATAAATAAAAAATCTCACTATGTCTGATTGGGTTTAAATAACCACAAATAACTGGAATCACTTCCTATTGATAAGAATGAGCATCTTACCGCTTATTACTATTTACATTGATAAATGTGACCAGGCCAGCCCTCCACCCACCAGTCAACGCCCCCGGTCGGAACCACGGTACCGGCGGCCTCTGCAGCGGCTGCACAGCAAACATTCACTCACCGAAATACACCGTCTTGTCGCATTTCGGACACTTTGACGCCATGATGGGAGCGGAGCGGACAGGATGGATGGAGCGTGTTTTCCGTCTGTCCTCCGGTTGGAGAAGCTTTCTGTCTGCAGCTCCGCTGGACCAGACAACCAGACGCACCTCTGGGTGTTACCGCTGCTTTAATGACGACCAGAAGACTCACATCCAGCCTCTACTGGCTCTGGTGCGCCGTCATAGCCCCGCCCCGATTGTGACGTCATTGGCTGTCATCCACAGATGAGATCAAAGCGACTTTCATATGGAGTGAAAATTATCTTGCCATGAAAATCTATGAATTTAGTACATTTCTGTCAGTTTGAGGATTTCGGTCAATTTTATTCCAATATATGAATCTGATATTAAAGTTTTAAACTTCTGCATATTCAATTATTTTGCAAAGACAAATTTTTAATTTGCCTTCAAAATTCTAATTGCAAAATTCAAAGAAATCTTGAATGTTGCAACAAAAACTTGCAAAATGCAACCAAAGATTTCAGACATTAAAAAGGGAAAAAAGTAAATAAATTAAATATGCATCGCTCAAAATCATAAGTTTTAAACTTTAGATGGAATTTTAATTTCAGATTGATTTCCAAAATTAGATGTTCATTTTAATTTGTCATTATTTCAAAACAATAAAATGTTTTTGATTTGAAAACAAAAGTGCATGTTTGGTTTAATTTAATTGCATTTAACTTATTGACAAATTTTAATATTTAACTATTAAGTATGTTTCTCTAGTTGGTGAGAAAAACCTTATTTTTTACTATATTTTTAACCATTTCATAAGGTTCCCAGAATAACATTTCATTTGCACACCAAAAATCTTCTAAAAAATATTTTCTAGATGAAATTAATGTCATTAACATGTCCAGATATTACACTGCAGGTGTTTCTCATAAGATTCATGTTGAATTCCAGTCACATTGGTCGTTGTGCATTAATCATTGTCGCCCTCCGGCTGTTTGTTTCCTCTGTGGTTGTTAGGTTACCTTTCCTGACTCTCTTCACAGGGAATGTTAAGCGACGCTCTGCAGCTCCCAGAATTATTACGCTCCACATTCCTGGCTCTGACACCAGGACGGCTCACATATGGACGGGTTTTTGAGTTGAACTGAGAACAATGACTCTGTGAAATTTAACTGTGGTATAAACAAGGGTTAAAATCACCAGAAGGTACCTATTGACCATTAGAATATCACAAATTAAAAAGGATCACAGAGATTGAGGGAGTAGCAACAAAAAACTAAGACTGTTCATCACCGTTTACCCAGTGATGCATGGGTGTGGCGGGATCATGCTGGGGGAATCTTTTTTTTTTTTTTTTTGGCAGGGACTGAGAAACTGTTGAAAACGGATGTTAAGTTACATGAACCCTTTCTGAGAAAATAAAGGTTTAAATGACTCCAAAACCAAAAGCTGCCTTTGTATACAAAGAGAATAATCAAAGCTTAACAAACCATTTAGTTTTACTTTTCTGTTTGTCAAATCTTAGTTGTTTTATACTCCAAAACTCTCTGACAGATTTTTACTTTGACTGATGGCGCTCAGAAAGAAACTCAGACAGGTTTAACTGTAAGGGAGATATTGAGTAAATTTACCCGACATTTACAGTAAAATTTGAGCAACAAACAAAAAAATCAGTCAACCCTTTTTTAGCTGGACATGCAGTAAATTGTCACATGTGAATTTTGCAGAAGTTATATCTTGTTTCTCTACAGATGCTGTCAGGAAGGATTTTCACAGCCATAAACTCTGAAAGCATCATGACTGAAGGATGAAAACTGTCTCACTGAAAGAACAAAATGATGCTAAATCTTCCAGTGAGACAAGTCCCTCCCGTATTCCTAGTGAGATAAACACACATCCAGTTTCTGCCCACTGGGTCTTCCATGACCTTCATAAGGACTCGTCTTAAAATAAACACCCCCAGATTGTGTTTGTAAGTTTTGGCACAGGAACAACAGGATGTCATGGCTGCAGAGGCGGCGCAACACCAAGCAGCTTCTGGTTCATATCTGCAAAAAGGGATGCAGCATTTCTCCAGACAGTCTGCAGTCAGACTGAAGATTAATAGTGCTGGTTATTATATTCAAGTATATTACTCATTGTTTCCCTACCGACATCAGAGTCTAATTTTAACCTATTTTACTGACAGAAACACGACTTCTGTTGGATCCCTGGGAGGAAGCCATCAATCTGGGCTTTCCCAGTTTCTACCACAGCCTCTTTTGATTTATAGGTCATTTTATATGCATGAACTTCACCAAAATATGTTATAATCATATATTTTGGTTAATAAAGAAAAATGATCATGATGCTGGTCAAATTTCAGAAGTAGTTGATTTTAACTTTTTATGTCAGAGTTTCTCTGCCTTATATTACCTGCAAATTTGACAAACCATATAAATGAATATTCTAAATGACAAAACTAAAGATAGTACAACTTTCAAAACTGTGGGAATGTAAACCAGGATCATTTAGAAACCCACCTATTCCAAACTGAATTAGCTGCAGCTTTTGATGTATCGAGAAATTTACACCTAAATGCACCCCTTAAGATGCTAAATGTAAAGTGAAGTAAAAAAAAAAAACAACTAAAACTCCATCCAACTAAACATGACCTCCTAAATGTGACACCAAACTGAATGCTAGTGGGCTCAACTTCAGCAAATTTTATAAATTCAAACATCTAAAAGCCTGAAAACCACTGAAAAAAGAAGCATCCAGAGATAAGGAACTAGAATACATCATATTTAAGAAGTCATAGCAAAATGATTTCATATTTAGGTCAGAGCAGCTAATGTGACACAGATGAAGACATTCTGATGGATTAAACTGATTTTACTACAGATTATAGTACTTCAGTTTACACGTAAGAAATCTACTCACAAATATAGACATTACAAAGCTACATTGATGATAAAAATAACTTTTGCTTCTTGAATTTAACAAAGAATCTTTTGCAGACATCCAGCAAACTGAGGGTGCAGCGCCACCACCTGGTTTGGTTATAAACTGCATCTATTTTATTTTAAGGTTTTATCAGCTCTAGTGGCCTTTATTTGATAGTTAGTTGACAGGAAAGTGGGTAATGAGAGAAGGGGAGGACATGCGGCAAAGGTTGCCAAGGCCGGGAATCGAACCTGCACCGGCCACGCCGAGGACTGAGGCCTCCATATGTGGGTTGTGCTTAACCTCTGCGCCACCACAGCACAACTGCATCTAATTTAAATGGCATTTAAGACAAAACAGCAGATTAACAGTAACTAGATAAAAGCGATGAGAAACTTGTCACCATTTTAAACTTTGTTTTATTTATCAACTTATTTGAATCAGACTCTTTAACAACCAAGACCTCAGGCTGTTTTTGATCCAAAGCTGGACCAAATTTCTTGCACAGAGATGAGTGAATTAAATGGCTTACATAGATTATAAACAACCAGAACTACAGAGCAGAAATACCAGATAAAAGCAGAGACGAGGCGGAGCTTTAAACGGCTCTCTGACATTTAAAAAGTCTGCTATACTTGGGAATCTGGATTCCAACGCAAAATTAAGCAATTTGAGGAAATGACATCTGCAGAAGCACCAACGGTTTGGGTAAAACCCTTAGCTAAATTAGAGTCCGAGTCATTTGTGGATGTGACAAGCTGGCAGAAGCACAATGACCGCTTTCAGATGGATGATGCTGTCTTTACTCCAGATACTGATGCTTCAGTTTGCAGGTAAGAATAAATCCACCAGAACATTTTGACTCTGAAATAAAACAACTATGATGAATATTTCACGTTCTTTTAGTTAAGACAGTCATGCTTTGTGTGTAACTTGGAGCTGTTAGTTTCTGCTTGCAGTTAAAATAACTTCACTGTATTAGTGAGAATTTCATCTGACAGTTTGTTCTTCCTCTGCGCTTTCTGTAGCAGCTGCTGGGCAACGTCGCGCGTTCTTCACTGTTAAAGTTGGTGATGAGGTCACTGTGCCCTGCGTAGAGGAGATCGCAGCACCGAATAACTGCGACAGAACCACATGGAAGGTCCGCCAGCCCAGAATCAGAAAAACATGGTTCCAACATGGAAATTTTACAGCAGAAGCTGCGGCTGATTTAGACAGACTGAGTGTTACGGCAAACTGCTCTCTGGTCATAAAGAGCGTCACAGTGAAAGATTTCGGTCAGTACATCTGCAGTGAGAACTCAGCAGGACAAAATCTCAGCATGAAGGTTGATCTGTCTGTTCTCACCAGTGAGTATCTACATCCTGTTTCTGTTTGAACAGTTCAACAATAAGAAATGACTTTAGCTATTTTTATTTTTCTCTTTTTAAAACTATTTTCACCAGTGACTGAACAGGAGAGCGATGATGAGGTCAACATAACCTGCTCTGTGACGGAGTATGTCTACTGCAGACACTCAGTGCTGTGGGTGTATGAGGGTGAAGAGAACATATCGTCACACATAAATGTTTCGAGATCCTGTTCTGCCACTGTGACTTTCCCAACATCTCATCTGCAACACAACGCAAAGCTTTGTGAGCAATTAAGGTGCAAAGTTAAAGATGGTTACGATAAGAAAGACCAGCTGTTCACCTGCAACTCACAGTGTCCAGGTGTAGAAACAGGTGAGAACTGTTAAAATCACTTCAAACTCAAAGTATTTGTTCGAATTAAAAGTGTGAATATTCCACCAGTTTTGACTGAAACATCTTCATACTGAGTCATGTTTAAATCTACTGGCTTATCAGACTTTCATTACTTTCAAGATGTTTTAAAGTCATTAAGATGCATCATTGTCCTTTTGGGTTTGGCGACTCTGAAGATGGCATCATTCAGCATTTTAATCCGGCTGTGGAGGAAGACTGAAGGTGAAAATATTCTCTGTTCTTATGAGATGTGTTAGTTTTTAATAACTGAATAAAAAAAAAAGGGGAGATAACAATGCAATTCTGTAGGATGAACTTGAGTCTCATATTCAAATGTGTTGTTTTGTTTTCAGCATGAGGCTCACTGATGAAGATGATGCTACAGCAAAGTACTAAAACATTGGAGAGCTTTTTATCTGTCATACTCCTGTATCGTAACCTTCAACATCTTTCTGAAAGTTCTGTTTCCAAAACAAAACATGAGTCTATTATATTAAAAGGATTGTACCGATGGAGAGAGAAAAGTTTAACTCATGTAGTTTTTGTCAACCCTGTGCTTTATCCATAATAAATGTTCCTTTTATGCATCTTTCAGCAGCATTGTCTCCCGTTTGGGTTGTGGGCCTGAGTCGGTCATAAAAATTGGGGGCTTGTCCAGGATTTGATTCCGGGACCATGATGAGCTCCAAATGAGCTCCATGAACCCAAAGAAGAGATAAGAAAGAAGGGCGAGTATGAAAAGAGGAGATGAGTGGAAGGGCAACTGAGTCGTCAGTCAGGATGTGGGGGAAAGGATTGTTAATCGGAACGAGTGGGAAAAAGAAAATGAAGGATTGAACACTGGGGTAAAAATCTTGGTTGTAAAGAATAAATGTTAATAGGAAAGAGGGATGAGCAAGATGAGGACTACAAAAAAATGTTGAAAAGGCAATGAGTGGGATAAAAAGTGGATGGATGAAGAGGACATAAATAGGGAGATAAGTGGGATGAAGAAGAAGTTGTAAAAGGCAACGAGTAGGGTGATGTGTCCCAGACTGAGTATGTTATCTATTATTGTTTTGTTTTGTTTGTTTTTTTTGTTTTTTTAATATGAAACAGTTTTTAACCTCAGGTTAATCATTGAGTCTAAATATAAAAAATGAGACTAACATGTAATGCCATTTGTGGTCTAAATAACTGAGTTTTCCTAATTTCCTGATGACCAGCAATGATCTTCTTCTACAGAATCCTTTTAAGGTCATATTTTAATTTTGTTCTCTGAAATGTGCATGTTTGGACAATAAGACGTCCCACAGTTCAGCCAACTCTGATTAGTCAACTGATTCATGAAGCGACTAAACATTTAAACCTGTAGGAAGGTTGTTGAAAGATGCGATATGAAAACAGGAAATGATGCAGTGACAGCAAGGTGACATAGAGCTGTCACTATGCTGGTAACAACAGCATATTAGGTGATATCTATAAATATTTATGCACCCAGTCCACATCCTCTTTAACTTTGTATGGAGAGATCAGACGCACTTACAAAGAAAGAAACCATTCTGCGGTTTTAGGTGTAAAATTCGGTTGCACCTTAAATATAAAACCTCCACAAAAAGTCCCTCTAAAAACATGCATCTGTTTGATGGAGGGATTGTGAGGATGTGCATTAATCTGATCATTTTGCTTCCAAGAAGTCTGTCTCAGTTTGAGAATTAAATTACATTTGATCTGCAGCTCATCCTGCCAAAACCTGACGATATCAAAATATGTGAAAAACAATGTTTTTATTTTTTAAATGAACTATAACTATAAGTTAATGAGAGGAAGGATGATGTTTTTACTTGCTATGAGGAAGTGAAACCTCTAACACCCACATGGCCTGCGTCAGGTTTTCATGTTAAAATTGGAACCATTTTACAGAGAAAGACAGAAATATCAGCTTTTATTCAGATAACGTTTTTATTTCCACTTCATCTCATAGAAAAGAAAACATCTAACAAATATTTATTTAACAATATTTTAGTGTTGTATAAATAATTGCTGTAGTGATGTAATATTGTTCTGGTGTATTAATTATTGTGATGTTTTATGTTTAGCTTATGTTGTATTTTAACCTCACTCCGTCTGTCAGTTGCTTGTCCTTCAGTAGGGATTTTTCCACTTATTCTTGCATCCGCTGCTGCAGCATTTGGGCACCAAGGAGTTTTTTTCAAACACAGAGTCTCTATGAGGAAGTCACACCTTACACACACACACACACACAGACTACGCAATGTTTTCATGTCTAAAAGGAGGTTGCTTTACAGACTCAGTCAGTTGTGTGTGTGAAGAGACAGAAGCACAATGATTTCCTTCCAACGGATTTCAACGTCTTTATTTCTGATACTTCAGATCACAGGTAAGGAAATATCTAATATCTAATTGTTGAATCTACATATCAATCAACCTGCAAACAGTTATTTGCTACATTGTCTTTAACATTTTCCCTGCAGCAGCAGCTGGGCAGCAGCGAGCTTTCTTCACTGTTAAAACTGGTGATGGAGTCACTTTACCCTGTAACAAAGTGGAACAGGAGAAACCCAACTGTGACAGAATCACATGGACGTTCAGTCAACCAGGAAACAGAAACGTATCATGGTTTGAAAGAGGACGTTTCACAGAAGAAGCTAACGCTAAGTCAGGCAGACTGAGTGTCACAGCAGACTGTTCTCTGGTCATGAAGAACGTCAGAGTGGAGGATTTTGGTGAATACTACTGCAGACAGATCCCGACTACAAGCCCAAATCTCGCCATGAAGGTTGAACTGTCTGTTGTTACCAGTGAGTATTTATATCACATTGATATTTAGCCACACTTCCTCTTAATAACACAACAATGAAGCTGAATTTACTGTTGTCTTTTGTAAATATCTCCATCTTCACCAGTGAGTGAACAAAGAAACAATGGAAAAGTCACCTTTACCTGCTCTGTGTCTCAACACACTGTCTGCAAACACACAGTGGTGTGGCTGTATGAGGGGAAAGATAAAATATCACCAGATGTGAATGTATCAAGTTCCTGCTCTGCAGCTGTCACAATCCCAGCATCTCATCTGCATCAGAACTCAAAGTTTTATGAGTTATTAAAGTGTAAAGTACAAGATGCATATGACAAAAAAGACCTGCTGTTCACCTTCAGCCATCAGTCATCAGGTGAGAACAAAACCCAACACATTTACATCTTAAGGAAATTGTAATATCACACCTGATATTCTGAATGTAGCTTTTGGTAATGTAGCTCAGTTATTTGTTGGTAAAAGATTTGCTTCAATTCTTTAAATTTATATCAAAGGAGAAACGACAAAGTCACCAGTAACAACAACAACATCTACATCCACAAGAAACAGGGAGACAATACAAGGTATAAAGTTTTCTTCATCTTTAAAATATAAATGTCTGAATATCAGAGTGACCCCTGGTGGTACTGATATGTCATTGTTTCTTGCAATTGATAAACTTTTTAGGGAACAAAACAACAACAAAGGCAACAACAATGCATAATCCAACAGAGCAACAAGGCAGTAGATATTTTTATTTAAAAATCTAATATCTGAATATTAACATTACAGGTGTTCGGCTTCAGATTCTCTCAGATTAAAGTTTTTTTATCAATTCCAGGTGATTTGTGCTTGTTGAGATACATCATTGTGTCTGTCGGTGTAACGGTACTCCTAATGTGTGTTGCCATAGTTACCATGTGGGAAAAAGTTCAATGTAAGGAAGCTCATAAAAATAATTATTAATCTAAATTTTAACTGTTGAAGCTGAAATCAAGCTAAGGTCTTCTGGTTTCTCTTTTCAGATAACAAATCAGAGATGAAAAGAAACGCAGTAAGTTTATACTAAATATATAAATGATGCATTGGAAAATATACATTATGTTGCCCAACTTATAAGGAAAATAAATACTGATCTGTTTTGTCCTGCAGGTAAACCGTGATCCGCGTGGAGAGACTGTGGGATATGAAAACATCCCAGAGTCTTCTGCTTCCATCAGATTCCACAGATCGATAGTTTAAAGAGCAAATATAGCAAAAAATTCACTTACAAATATGAAATATGACTTTATGTACCACAAACTGTTTTAGTTTGAAACACGAGGAAGCTGTAAAACACTTATTTGTGTCAAACAAGAAGAAAATGTTTTAAAGCATTTAGAGTATATAAACATCCTTGTTTATATACTTTTAGATAAGAGTGTTATGAATAACCACAAGTATTAAATGTTATAATAACTCAAGTGTGTCAATAATCAGCCACCTTGGAGAGCAAAATATTGTTTTTAAATCTTGAATAAAGATGCTTGTTTTCTGGATTCTTAAGAGTATAAGTTTTCTTTGTTCTTTTTCTTTTTTACAAATTGATCAAAATGAAACATAAATTATTGGAAATTATATATTTAAACCCATTTCTTTCTTCACTTATCACATAATTCTCCTTTTCAGCTCTCCAAAATTTACTGTCTTATTTACCACTGACTAGCTAAACTCAAACTAGACTCAACCATGTGGGGATTCAGCCTTGATTTGTGATGGGAGCATTTTAAACTGGAATAAAAAATATTCCAACACATGTGAATTATAAGGATGAGAGCCTGACCCAACATTTATAGACATATCAGGTGTTTCTGGTTAGCTTATCCTCTTGTTCATGTATTAGCAGACACTGTTGTCCAGAACAACAGGATGATGCTGCAATAATGCGACATTATTATCAAAGCTAACAATAACTTGGAAGGGAAAGTTACAGTCAGATTCCTTCAGAGGTGACAGTGCAAACAGAGAGGTGTCCATTTTACTTTGCAGTTAAGTTAAACGTCACTGGCCGAGTTATTAACATGCATGACGGAACTGTGAAAAACAGGTTTCAATTATGATTCTTGATCATGATTGTTCATCCGCCCCCTGCCACTTGTTGCCATGTGTAATGGAGTTAAATATGTGACAAACAACACTCCGCTGTTGAGGAAGTCACACCTCCGTACACACACACACACACACACACACACACACACACACACACACACACACACGCGTGATGGTTTCATGCTTAAAAGGAAGCTGCTTCACACACTCAGTCAGTCGTGGACGTAAAGAAGCAGAAGCACAATGCTTTCCTGTAAGTGGATCTCTGAGACTTTATTTACTATTCTGATGCTTCAGCTCACAGGTAAGGAAACAACCAACAAATATCCATTTATTAATACTCAGATGTGCAGTAAACCATGTTATTTGAAAGTATTTATTACTTATTAGGTTTTATTTGTGACCTAAATGCTTGTCTTGTTTCTACATCTCAACCTACATGTCACCATTTGTTCCATTTTCCCTGCAGCAGCAGCTGGGCAGCAGCGAGCTTTCTTCACTGTTAAAACTGGTGATGGAGTCACTTTACCCTGTAGCAAAGTGGAACAGGAGAAACCCAACTGTGACAGAATCACATGGACGTTCAGTCAACCAGGAAACAGAGAGGTATCATGGTTTGAAAGAGGAAAGTTCACAGAAGAAGCTAACGCTAAGTCAGGCAGACTGAGTGTCACAGCAGACTGTTCTCTGGTCATGAAGAACGTCAGAGAGGAGGTTTTTGGTGAATACTACTGCAGACAGATCCCGACTACAAGCCCAAATCTCGCCATGAAGGTTGATCTGTCTGTTGTTACCAGTGAGTATTTATATCACATTGATATTTAGCCACACTTCCTCTTATTAACACAACAATGAAGCTGAATTTACTGTTGTCTTTTCTAAATATCTCCATCTTCACCAGTGAATGAACAAAGAAACAATGGAAAAGTCACCTTTACCTGCTCTGTGTCTCAACACACTGTCTGCAAACACACAGTGGTGTGGCTGTATGAGGGGAAAGATAAAATATCACCAGATGTGAATGTATCAAGTTCCTGCTCTGCAGCTGTCACAATCCCAGCATCTCATCTGCATCAGGACTCAAAGTTTTATGAGTTATTAAAGTGTAAAGTACAAGATGCATATGACAAAAAAGACCTGCTGTTCACCTTCAGCCATCAGTCATCAGGTGAGAACATCAAACATTATTCATCATTCTCTCAAACCTGAAATATTTCAGCTTTTAACATTTATCTAATCTAATCAGCTGATTATTTTCATATAATGATGCATCTGCAAACCTGATTAACACAAAATAATCCTAATTTACAGAACAATCAACAGCAGCTACAGCAACTACATCAGTAACAACTAAATCAATATCAGCCACATCTAACAGAACTGAATCAGTATTTTCAACCAGCAGCAGGTGGCTAACATCACTAACTCCAACACCAACGCCATTTACCAAACATAATCAAACAAAATCTCGAGGTAGATATGCATTTTATTATGTTTAAATATCTAAAGGTATAGGCTGGGTTTTTTTAAAATGACATTTAGTGAAGATATTAGCAGCAATGATTCCATTAGCTGTGGTAGAAAGTAGAGAGTTTGCAGAAAAGTAAAAATATCCACAGATTAGAGGAATGTCTAAAGAAACACTTTCTGAAGTTTTTTCACTGTTTTCTTGGCCTAAATATATCTGTGTTAAAGCTGTTAGCTTCTGTTATCATATACAACAGAAGCTAACAGCTACTATTATTGTTGTTTTCACAGAATGTCTTTAACAAGCCAGCCTTTTCCTTTAGTTTCAACCAGATGCTATGTTCAGGTGTTTTTCTTCCAGTGGTTTTATTTTATATAACGTGTCGTTTGTCCACCAGGTTGGATTTGGTGGGTTGTCACTGTGTCCATGTTGTTAGCAGGACTCTTAATAACTGTGATGGTAACCATCGGATGGATGAAAACTAAAGGTGAGAACAATCACTGATTTACCTAAAAACAACATTCATGTAATTACGCAAACCGCTGCTTAATATTTTAACTGTTGTTTTTCTTATATGCATAAAAATAACAAAGTAATAGTAGATAGTAAACTATGATGCATGATTATCTTTAAGCTGATTCAAACTCTTGTCTCTTTTAGGAAGTAAAAAGCAGAAGGAAGACCAGCCTGTGAGTTTCACCACAGAAATATGACGTATTTAGACATTTTGAAACCTCATTCAGCCACTGCTGGCTTCTCGACATTTTTCGACTTTCGCCACCCAGATATGAAACTCAGCTAAGGAACTGCTATGATGACTCAGTTTTATCAAAAAGCCACACAGGGCAGAATGACACCAGGTGGTTTTGTGGGTTAGCTCTGATCCATGCAGATGTGTCAGAAACAGACTGATAACTCTTTTTAACAACAGGAAGGACCTTTAATGACAAAAAACTAAATATTTTTTTCCATACAGTTTGCAGAAATAACATCACTGTTACTCTTTGCTTTGTTTTCCTTCAGCAGGTTGATGCTTATGTTTCTTATGCATCCATGAACCTCGCCATGGGAACCAGGACAAAAAGCAACGTGAGTGCCATAATATAACTGCAACATAGATTTATTCATTTGGTAAACGGTGTGAGGTAATGTAGAAACATTAGGGTCTTCCAGGTTGAAACCTTTTCTGTAACTGGATCTTTAGTTTTAAGTTTAAATATGGCAAAAGATTCATGGATTGGCTTCATGTGCAATTTTTATAATAAATTTGATATTCATAATCTGTGAGCTGATAAACTGGGATTTACTGTCTGCCTCCTCTATGCATAGCAAAGCAATATTAAAATATTAACATCTCTATTTATGGTTAATGTGTTCAGTAATATTTTTTTATGTTTTTATTGCGTCACTCCAGGTCCCTGATGCTGTGATCTACAGCACTCTACAAGCTCCATCTGCTGTGATCTGATCAGCTGCTGTCCATAACAGAAGGAAAAGCAACATTTCCCTTTAATTTGTTGAGGATTTGAATCCAGTTGTTTTGTTCTGGATCATTTCTGCTTGTTTGATGCCTAATCTGCTCCCATCCTGCCTCTCTGCAATGATTGGATCACAATCCTTCAAACATTTAATGCATTTACAAAGTTTATTGCAATATATATATATATATATATATATATATATTATGCTGGGAAATCATGTATTCAGTAGAATTACAGTGTTTTTTCATTCCATTGTTTATTGTAATTTCTAATAAAGTTGCCAAGCTCCAGCTTACTGATAAGCCGGTGGTGGGTCGCCATCTTTCTTGAAGCTAAATACAGTGTGATGCTAACCAACCAATAGGGAGAAGTTGTGGCCTGAAGGCACCGCCCCTCATTATCATAATGAAGCAGAAACGAATAAGGACAATGGAAAAAGGACAGGCAGAAATAAATAACTATCAATACAAATAAAGAAGCCAATAACTTATTTATTAATAATAATCTATTTAATTTTGGCTGAAATGGCTCTCCATACTCTATAGTCCAAAGACTGCAGGTGGAAATTAGAATTTCTTGCTAGTCTGGTACCATTCGTGTTTGAAAAGGTTAATGAAATGTTGTGCATCGTCTCTGTGTAAAACAAACAGACAGTAAATAGCAGAAGAAACATTTCTCTTCCCAGTTTTCCAAACGTTACATTGTAAACAGAAGCTAACCTGCTTTCCACAGATAAACCTCCAACTTGCCTTTGGTATCATTTTACTCACTGAAAATAAGCAAACTTGAAGGTCCAGAAAACGAGAAGAGGCCAATGGAAAAGTAAAACGGGTTCAGTGTTCAGGTTTGAAGTGCAGCAGAAGCCTGTCAAAGGGTCAGTATCATGTAAAAACAACTTTTTGAGTTTTACTTCATGTTAAAGCTCCTCCTTGGAATAACAGTGTCAAAGTTTCTGAGCTTCCGCCTCTCAGCCCTCCCCCTTCAGACTAGCAGCAGCAGTTAGCCGACACCTGGTGGAACTGCGCATCTGATGAGCTCATTATGTAAGATACTTCTAGGTGCAGGCATGTAAAAAATGTTGTTAAAGGGTTAATAGAGGAACCATGTTGCAAGGACTTCCTGAAGGTGGAGTTTCAGAAAGAGCAGGAGGTTTTAAAGAGACAGAGGCCCAATTTCAAGGCATTAAATTACAAAGTCATTTCCTTTCAAAAATATTTAATATATAAAGCATTTTTATAATAACTGAAGCTAATATAGTTACTTTATTGTGCTTTAAAATGATTCTATATGACTGGAAAACACATCATACTTCCCCTTTAGCCTTTTACTTATTTTTGTAAGTGAGGTGAACTGCAGCAGAGAACATGTGGGTCAGCAGACCCTGAGCATCCGGCTTGGGAAACATCACTCTGGCTGCTGTTTTTTCAACGTTTGCTTTCATAAGTTTAAATAGATTATGATTATCTGCTCTTGCTATGAACATTGTGTGGTCTAAATTTAAAAAAGGAGAACAATGAGACGTTTTATGCTGCTAGTGTGTTCATGTGCAGCAACTGGTAACAGAAACGAACACATTTCAACAGAAACAGTTCCATCTTGTTTCAAAAGCTATCAGCTCTTAAAGCAACTGTTTTATTCTTGCAAATATTTAAAAAAATGCTTTTGAAATACGCTAAGGAGGTAAATGAAAAATGCTAATGTTGGAAGTCTTTTTGATAGGTTTCTAAAAACATGCAAACAACAAACATCACAAGTGAGAAACAGGGTGAAGATGTTGTGAGGAAGTCGCCCCTCCTGAAGCTCATGGGTGTTTATTTTCAATAAGAAGCCATTTTAAACACGTTAGCGAACATGAACAGAGCAGATGCAGATGAGCAAAATGGCTGAAAGAGGATGGATATGGTCGTCTTTAATTCTGATGCTTCATTTTGCAGGTAAGATTAAATTTAATCAGCGTTAAATAAAGTTTAATGCTGCTGCTTTCAGTATTTGTGTCCAACGTAACACTTGTCTAGTCTGTAGCTTCCTGACTGCAGTTGACTCTCACAAAAGAGTGACGCACGATTTTATGTTTTCTCTGACCTGTTACTCAGGACATAAAAGTTTATGTTGTATTTAATTTATATACATTTCATTTTAAGAGTTCTTAAAATGAACAGACTTGGTGTAAGAAAACAATTGATTTAACAAAGTGTGATAGATTTAATTTGTAACAAACTGTCATAAGGAACTAAAGATTAATAAGGAAGTAAATTAAGCAGATTCAGTGTTTCAGTTTATTTTTAGCCATGAAGAAAACTTATAAAAGAACAAGTCAGCTGCTTAGATCTGCAGATAAATTATGTCAAAGATGAGTCATAAATTTAACCCCAAATGACTTTTACACACAAACAAATGAAAACTTACTAACGTACTAACAACCTAGAAAGCACACAACACAACAACGATACTGCGGCCCATGGATGGGGAGATTAACGAACGATCTGGGACCAGAACTATATTCGCGTTTTGTGGGTTTTCCTTCACGATAAACAACCAAAGCAGTAAAAAAGCAACACATTCATATTAGTCATGAGGGAGATAACATGGAGTCTCTCATCACAGTTTGTTGGGTTTTTTCTATCAGATTCTCATTCTACAGCTTTTACAACAACAACAACAACAACAACAACAACAAC